AAATCATCCAGCACATGTATCCAACAGCCATGTTCGCAGACTCACGAACAACTCAAACCACGAAAACTATGGCCGTCGGCTCGCGGTGTTCAGGCAGGCAATCAAGTCAAATCTGATGAACAGTTGTGGGGGAATGCTGGCACGTGTCGGGATACACTTAATTTGAGGTGGCTGCGTAGAGCATTGCTGATGTTGATGTGGCCATAACAAAAAACATTTTATCCCAGAATTGAATTGACGATAGTTTTCCCCAATGAATGCCTCTGCATGCTTACAAGTACATTGATATTGACGGGAGTGCCTGGTTGAAACGTTGAGGACTTGCCTAGCGAAGGGTCATATGACATGTGCCAAATAATGGTAGACGTGGCGCGTTCCGGCCAGTTAATGCCTAGCTCGCAACACCAGGCGGCATCGCCCGTGACGGGGCAACGAGAGAGCATTGCTTGTGCTTCTGTGATGGATCAGCAGTGAAGAGCTACACAGCTTTCGACCTACCATCAACAAACAAACGTGCGCATATACCCAGGTGAAAGAGTTTCTCTTGAAAACTCACTCTACGAGATACACGACATCATCGACGATCACGTCGCATTGATGATCTTCACCCGCTAGTTCCGCAATGTTGTCTGCGAAGATCTTGGCACACGACAGCGGTGCAAGCCGTAGTGAAAATGGTACAAGCGCGAGTCGGAAACGGCAAAAACAGGAAGTAGGGGGGAAGGCGAAGAAAGTTGAACGTCAGCGTTTGAGCGACAGCCTGAAGACAGTGAGCTGCTCCACGGTGCGTGCTAAGGCCGTGCACTGCCCATGTGCCTGTAGGATCTATCTACTTCAGCAATTGCGACAGTTTCACCCCCATTCGGTTCGCTATAGTTGTGCTGCATTTTCCATTATCACCTGCCTAACCTCTCGTTGCTTTCAGTACTCATCGCAAGCTTTCGCTGTGTACAGGCACCATCAAGTAACGCGGGGATGTAGGCTCAGACGAAAAGTTGTTCGTTTTACCCGCCGTACCTGCTCGCCACCATGGACCGTGCTGAACTTGAACGTTGCTCCAGATGCGATATCGTACGCGAGCTCTATCATGGCAGATCCTAGATACCAAACACGGGCGGTGAATGCGTATCAGGACCCCAACTCTTGACGCTAGTGCAGAGTGAAAAGGTGAAACTTGCGTGCATGAAGACAAGATGAAGGATATGCAGAGGAGGGAAAAAGAGTTTCTCAGTCCAAAATACCGCACTAGACCACAGGTGTACGCGCGTAATTTGTTTTATTCGACCGCCAGTTGGCCATCAGAACTACGTCGTCTCAGCTCGGGTAAAAACGGCAAAGTATTTTCAAGGCCGTGACCCTGGGCATCGTTAGGGGGCGGCGTACCCTCAATCTCCAGATTGAAAACAGAGACGGCAGGTACGATGAAACAAAAATGCACACGTCTACCGAGATATCTATCTACTCGTACTATATTTTTCACCCTTTCCTCCTTTGTGCTTGTGGTTCATACTCACGGCGCAGGTGCAGCAATCGTTTCGCTCTTTCGTGGGTTGCAAGACGCGCACATGTAGACTCAGCTGGAAAGTGGAACCCGAGCTGAACCGTGCTGNTATATTTTTCACCCTTTCCTCCTTTGTGCTTGTGGTTCATACTCACGGCGCAGGTGCAGCAATCGTTTCGCTCTTTCGTGGGTTGCAAGACGCGCACATGTAGACTCAGCTGGAAAGTGGAACCCGAGCTGAACCGTGCTGCTACCGTATACGACACAAGATAACACACCCCCTGGACCAATTTTCAAAGCTCGATTACTCCACGACGAAGGGAATGCATAAACGAAACGATACATTTTTGGAAAGCTCTCGACGAGACGGTTCCAACGCCGCCGCCGTTTTTGGCGCCGTGACTTTTTCGGTTGTTGAGAAATCGAGATTTGAAAATCGGTCCAGGGGGTGTGTTATCTATCTTGTGTCATTCACGGTAAAAGGTTCACGGGATGGTGGTACAGGTACAGCGAGTAACCCAATGACGAACGAGTTGGCGTTCCCAAATCGGACAGAGCGTACAGAATGACATCAAGAACCGATGGGACGTAGAACGCACGTGCATACATGCGAAATCATACCAAGGAGCGAGACCGCACGCACCTTCGTCAGTGCCCTCAACGCCTTCGGGGATTTCCTGGAGAACGACAGGATAAGGCCATTTATTTGTTTTTTAGTCACCAACATCAGCCAACATCAAGGGGGTGGGTTAGGGGCATCTCGAGCTTGCATGGCGGCGCTACGCGTGGCTCTTGGTCGATCGGGTTCGAAAGACTTTAGGTCTTGCTACACACAGATCGCGACTTCACCTGGAGTAAGATTGCGTGTGGTTTACCTTGGGGCCAGGGATCGACACCAAGAACTGTGGAAGACTTGCCAAAAAATAGGATTTTCGTCGTATCTTCGCGTCTCGTTACAATCAATGGCTATTGAGCGGTTCGACGGCTCTTTTTCGTGTTTTTTATGTCTGGTGTCCATCCGGACAGCATAGAAGTTCCGGTTCGCGTGTTTCCACGGATATTGGTGCCGCATTGACGTCAGACTGTCCGTATTTGAAGCGTCCACCATTCGCTTTCTGTTTGTGAGTCTCCGTAGAAATCTGCGAATGTTTAGTCTCCAACAGTTCAACAAAAGATGAATGGCGTGAGATGCAACTTACTGATCCTCCCTGCGTGGAACTTCGACATCTTCTGCAACACAGTATCGATATAGACTATTATGAAACACACAATATATGGAATGCCTGCTGATAACAGCCTCTCTGTGTGGTAATCAGAAAATTGTTTCCAGACTCGAGACTTGGGTTGTATGCCTGTCGTTGCCCGTAGTTCGTGTTGTCACCATCCTTGTCCGACGTTTCAGAGAAGGAGAAGAGAACCAGCAAACCCTACGAGTAATGTGCGACATCACTGTTCAATAGAAGCTACAGTAACTCAACAGGTTTAGGCGTGAAAGATCCGGGTCCTTGTGGGTCGATATCCACCTGTGTCGTACCTTGATGACCTCGACCTCGGGCAGGTCTCCCGAATCCTTCAGGGTTGCGGCTTTACCAAGGTAGTTGAAGCTGTCTGACAAAACGCAGAGTTTTTTATCTTCGCCCGTTGTTCTCGTACACCCGAGGTTCTTCAGCCCGTCGATGAGCTCGGCTACCTGTGGTCGACATATCAGGTTGCACCCGTACGAAACTCAACATCTGCGTTATTCGGCAAGCATTCATTCGACGGTGCGACGGTTCCAATTCTAAACGTGGCGTGTCTGGTTTTCTGAGTTCTGAGAAGTCGGTTAAAACGGATCCCACTTGCTTTGCCAACCGTTCTCAAGGCAGGGAACTTATAGTTGATTTACTGTCGGAAATCCCTCAAATATGTCGAGGATGATGTCGCCACGTCTTCAATCCAAAGGGCAAACATTGTGGTCTTGCCCCAACCTATTGATCCGCACGATGCCACCAAATGCAACATCGTCTCACTTGATGCGCTTGTCCTGCCTGGCTGGTGCTGCTTTGAAGGTGACGCCTCGTTTGACCACCATGCTTGTTGAAAGGGTACGCCTCCACAACAGGGGCAACCCGAGTTACTCGCTCAATGTTCTCGTCCTCGCAGAACGCTGGCACGTGATAAAATTCGTGCGAACGGTACCAATCGATGCAGCAGTGCACGTCATCAACCTTTCGACTAGTGATGGGCAGCTACGATTACAGGATCTACGGAGAGAGTATTGCATGCGTAACGCCGAAACATTCTTCTTGACGATTAATATATTTATCACCGACTACCTAGCGGGAGGCAATCGCTTCATGGTCACCTTCGAACGTGATGGCGGTCGCGCCCTGGTACGAAGAGGCATGGTCGGTCTCGCTGACGACGCTTCCTGGGGCCGCACTCACGCTGTCAGACATGGTGTATCCCTGCACTCCAAGGCGATGAAGAGGCAAGAAGGTAGATTTTCAATAAATAAATTGCCCATCTTGGATGAAGAGTATGTACCGTTCATTTCCGGCAAGATGGAAATGTAGCGTCGTTGTGATGCCTCCAGCATTGTGTGTACTACTTACAACAACGTTTGTTTGCGTTCGGCTTAGACGAACACCGCGTGAGGAATGGTTGTGTCGGTAAGTCAAATGTAATATCACCACATAGTCTAGAACCAATCGTGCACCTTGGGAGTGATGAGTTCTACCAGTCCAATTTCCTCATGCTCGACGCAGCTGGCTCGAACGCGCTGAGCGTCAGGGTTGTGGGCTGATCCCTCGGCCTTCATGAACGTCCATAGCTCGAAGGATAGCTTTTTCTGGCATGGCTCGTCGTCCGCATCCCAGTCCGCTCTGATGAACGACCGATAGCATACGACATGTGTTTTTGCAGTGTGCATTAGAACTCTCGAACGCCGATCCCCGCAAGTTCACAATACACTACTACTTTTCGATAGCTACATCTCATGAACGCCAGGGGTGCGTCGAGGATGCACCGAAGTTCATTAGGCTGTTCATTTCGTTCGACGCTGTCAAATGACCAAGTGTTGAGACGAACTTCCATGGACACAGCAGCCACATTGATATTTAGGAAAATGGCCACAAGCAATGACACTGGAAACATGTTCCGGCCGCATTGCAAGCGAACGGCAGGGTTCGTCGTCGGTAGGAGTCGCACACGCTCTACGTTTTTTTGCAACAATGTCCTCGCTACACGCGAGTAGACCGCTGTGGTCCTTTCCAAGTGGTCCTGCTCGATACTAGCCCGCGATTGGGTGCTTGTTTGCAGCAGTGAAAGCAAACATTTCCGAAGCACACGATCCCGACGAAATCCTACAGCTGTAGACTACTCTCCGTTGATAAAAACGAAAAAACACAACGACAACGCGGTGCACATGCAACGCCGCACCTGAGCGAAAGGAACGTTGAAAACTCACACGCCGAGCTTTCGACACTTTCGCCGGAAGCTCGTCCGATCACTGCACCACTGGCGAGTGCCAAAAAGAGTGCCCCCAGGAGAGACATCTTGGTGCTGGATCTTCAGTGCCTGTGGTTGACACGTCACGGCCGAGCGTAAGATTGCAAAAAGTTACCAGGAGGGAGGAAATAATGATACTATGCTTCAACCAATTGTGTAAGGGCCGTTTTAAACTGACCGACTTTTTGTCAAAATTTTTGAAAGTGTCAAAAAAATGGAACCTGTATGTAGGCGTTTGTCCATTTTTTTCAAAAATATTTGGAACGAAGTTGGGCGCGAAAACTTTGCTCCACTTCGTTCCAACTTTTTGACAACCCTCTACAAGTATTTGGAGCACTTTCCAAAGTACCCTTGCAGAGGCACGCGAGGGCTGCTGCGTCTGCACCACGAGTGCCCCTCACCGTAGAAAGTCAGCTAGGGTTGTGTGTGAGTCATCTGTCGCTGTCGCTATTGCTATCGTCGCTGTTGCCAACGTTGACGATGCTGTCTGCTGTTGCTGTGTCGTCCGAAAAACGGCGGTCCGCCATGATGGCTTGCAGTTGTTGCTTCGCGTCCGCCGCTTTGTTTTTTCCTTTTCCCGGGGGGGTAGGAGCAGTGGTTGCCACCCCTCGCCGGCGGCCTGCTCCACCCTCGCTCGGAGTGTTGGTGGCGGCAGCGCCTCCCGTGGTAACATGAGTGTTCCCCGAGATGCCAGGCAGCAGCACTATCTTGCTGGAGAGCAAGCCTCCACCGCCTACGGCGGCACCGAGAGAGCCCGTCTGCTGGAATTTCGCCGGGGTTTTGGTCTGCCGGCCACGCTGGGTGGTCGTGATATCTATCCATGTCGGTGTCCATGATGTCGTGTTTTCCGCGGTTTGTGTTGTGTCGTGTGTGTTGTCTCGAAGTGAGCGCTACAACTCACGGACGGCGTCATTTTTTTTTGCACAAGTTGAACAAGTCCACCTCACACGTTTAAAATGACTGCACACAGGTTCCAAGTTTTTGAAAGACAACTGTCGAAAATTTTGACAAAAAAGTCGGTCCGTTTAAAACGGCCCAAGAGGGAGGAAGAATGAGGAGATTCTGATCCCGATTTGGACGGGAAGCAAAAAAACGGGAGACAACTGGTGCCGAGCAAGAGTGTACCCGCCTCGCTCAAACGAGAGAGAATGGATTGTACAACAGCTTTTGAAACTTATCAGCAGCAGCGCCCTGCTATTCCCATCTCAACACCCCGTCAGCTATCACGTCGTCTCACAGCCACTTCTTGCACCTTGCTCTCTCACCCTCTCTCACACTCCTTCGTGAGTTGCCCGGACCAGTAGTAGTAGTTATGCAAGGTCCCGAGGCCACACGACGTGCGGTGGCTTCGACCCACGCACAAAAAAGATGGTTGCCACTGCTGCTACCTGCTGCGGCGTGAGCCTTGTGGCAATGTTTGTGTGGGTGGGAATGGGTTGTGGGGGTTTGTGGCCGCCATAAAAGTCTTGAACTTCCCTTGCCCCACCAATCGACGTCGGGCTTTTCGGCTCATGCGTGATTCTACAAGGTTCCCCCCACACCTACCTCTTGACTCTCTGATGGCACCAATTCGGCGACTAGCTGGCCAACTCTTCACCGATAGTGTTCGTGGTAGCGGCCTTATGTATCGCCTGCGCTGCGGTAGAACATCTGATTGGATATTTTTAATTGCAGAACTGTCGATCGTAGGTTGTCATGC